CCGTCGTGTAGCAGCTCTGGAGAAGCATCTTCAGAATGGGGTATGTTCAAATTATCACACTATACACTATGCAAACATTGAGATTTGTCTGTAATATACATATGTATATATCTTATATATTACATATATATTACACACATTGTATATTACTGTCATGCACTGAAACATTGTTTTATATTTATGTTTTTATTCATTTAACTTCTGAACAGCAATACAAAATGCTTTATGTCAAAATTCAATTATATTACCTTGAACGAAAAGCAAAAATGTCTTTTAATAAAAGTTTAGAATAGAATATAAAGTCAATCTTATATTAACTTGCTATATACTATATAATGTTGATATAATGTTTATTACGGGACATGAGCAAAATCTGAAGTGATATTGATGTAGTATGATGCTATACATTTTTTAAAATATAATCAATAAAGCAGATACATATGTGTAATTCTCTGCTGAAAACAACTATTTGCGATACTATGACAACACCTTGACGATCTGTATTCGTTTTTTATTATTATTGTTGAAAGATGAGACGTAACTGTGACGTAGGACTTGGCTCTGCGCTGGCTCTTTAGCCTGTAGAAAAGCAAACCGGTTCTTTGGAGGCTCGTCAGTTGAACCAACTCCGAACCAGCTCTAGCTCTGGCTCCGAACCAGCACCTAGTTCTTGGTGGAAAAGGGGTATGAGAGCAAAACACTCAACAAGATCACGACTGTTTGCTGTCCTGGCTCCAAAATGGTGGAATGAGCTCTCTGATGACATCAAGACCGCAGAGAGCCTTTACAGTGCATCCGGAAAGTATTCACAGCGCTTCACTTTTTCCACATTTTGTTATGTTACTGGCTTATTCCAAAATGGATTAAATTCCTCAACATTCTATACACAACAACCCATAATGACAAAGTGAAAACTATTTTTTGCAAATTTTTGCAAATCTGTTATAAAGAACTAAAGAACGAAAACATAACATGTACATAAGTATTCACAGCCTTTGCTCATTACTTTGTTAAAGCACCTTTGGCAGCAATTAGTGCTGTGAATACTTTGTGGATGCACTGTATATCTTCCGTCGCAAACTAAAGACACACCTCTTCAGACTATACCTCAACTAAAAAGACTAACAAATTGTAACACGTAATGGCTCTTGTTGTAAATCAGCTTATTTAATGAAATTGCACTTTCTTGTTCTTTTGAGTTTTTATCCTTATGGTTGAAATGCACTTATTGTAAGTCGCTCTGGATAAAAGTGTCAGCGAAATGACATGTAATGTAATTGTGCTGTTCAAAAACTGGGCACTGAGATGAATCTTTTAATGTACTCCGTGCCACTGAGCATAACATTTACGGACTTAAAATGTACATATTAAATCACAGGTCACATTTAACGGCTCAAAAAGTAAAGAATTTCTAAATTCATTCATTCTATTGGGGACACCTGTATTCAAGCAAACTCCCCTTTCACACCCTCTGCAGGAGTTCAAGAGACAACAGCACATCTGTCAGCATCTTTGCCAAGCCCCCACACATAGCAACCATACTGTTATCAGCGTTCAAAAATCTGTATTGTTTGAAACCTAATGAATATTCATTATTATATGTAGCCCATTTATAAAATCAAAATTCAAAATGAATTTGGCTTAAGAGCTTCCTATGAATTTCTTTCTTTTTCGCTTCAGTCTTGTCCACCTGAGGGCGCACTTGGGCACCGCCCAAGTGGTACCCCAGACAACGTACCTCCCTCCGGCCAACTGCGTGGTGAATTGGTATAACCGAAACTGAGTGGAGAAAGCAGTCTTTTCCCTGGACTTTGGCGACAAGGGAATCTGTCACCCTTGGTTGAATCCAGTGTCTTAAAAAAACTTGCGGTGCCCAATCAGTCCAGGAGTTCGTCCCCCCGACGCATCGGGTACGCATCAAACCGTGGCACAGTATTCACCTTTCGATAGTCCAGAACCGTATAGAGCCATCTTTCTTGTTGACCAGAACAATGGGGCTGAACCAGACACAGTTGGACTATTACTCCCATCTACAGCATAGCAATCAATTCTCTCTGAACAATTTTTCTTTTGTGTTCAGGTAACCTGTAGGGGGCGACCGCATCAGATCCGTGCAACCTGGCAGAAGGGAGAACATTATTAAACTGATCCTGCAAGTGCTTTACACTTGTTCTCTGGGTCGTAGAGAGATGGGAGTCAGAATGAAACCAGGCCGGATAGGTGGACTGGAACCTCTGGCCCCAGCTCATCCTTATCAGCTACTGTGTGGCCTGAAACAAACTCCGCCTCCCTCCATAGTTTGAGGACGTTGAGGTGGTAGATCTGTTTAGCTGCACCTCTGTCAGCTCTCACCACCTCGTAGTCGAAGTCCTCTACATTACATTACATTAAATGTCATTTAGCTGCCGTTTTTATCCAAAGCGACTACCGGGATGAACCGCAAGGTGGTCCTCGGACAGGGTGATGGAGGCCTCTAGCGTCACCGGATGGTGATAGCGGACCAAAACATTAAAGAAAGTTTTCTTATTTCAAACTATAAACAATATATGAACTGTTGTCTCTGTAAGAGCCGGAAGTATAAATATCATCATTGGAATTTTGGTGGGGTGGCACGGTGGTGTGGTGGTTAGCACCCAAGCCTCACAGCAAGAAGGTCCTGGGTTTAACTCTGCCCAGTGGTCTTTCTGTGTGGCGTCTGCATGTTCTCCCCGTGTCTGGATGGGTTCTTACCGGCTACTGCGGCTTCCTCCCACAGTCCAAAGACATGCTCTGGGGATCAGGTTGATTGGGGACTCTAAATTGCCCATAGGTGTGAATGTGAGTGTGAAGTTGTATGTGTTAGCCCTGCGATTGGCTGGTGACCAGTCAAGGTGTACCCCGTCTCTCACCCGAAGTTGGCTGGGATAGACTGTTCTGCACTGGTGCTTTGTTCCCTACATACAGAAACACCTTCAGATTATCCAGGAGGGCTGGACTTGCCACGACTACGTACCAAGGGAAACCAGTCCCACTACGCACTGAGGGAAACCAGTCCCCTCTGCAACTGTGTTCTTCCTGAGGAGACTGAAGAAGGCTCATCTGTTCCCTCAGATCCTGGTGAACTTCTACTTCTGCACCATCGAGAGCATCCTTACAAACTGCACCATCTGTTGTGGACCGGAAATCACTCCTGAGGGTGATAAAAACTGCTCAGCTTACCACTGCTTCCTCACGCCCCATCATTGAGACTATCCAGCACAAAAGACCCTAACCTGCGCAGCATCGCAAAGGACAGCTCCCACCCCAGCCATAGACTGTTTGCCCTCGTTCGGCTCTGGGAGGCCGCAAGAGGGCCCTCCGTTCCCAGACCAGCAGGTTCAGGAACAGCTTCTTCCCTCCCGCTGTCACCGTCCTGAACTCTGCAACACGGTGATAGCCCCCCCCCCACCCCCCCCCACATAACTCTCCAATAACCTTACTCCCCCCTGGCCTGGACGGCCTTCTGTTTTGCACCTCAATTATGCCATATTTGCATTACCATGCCGTATTTACAAACTTGCTGCTAAATACTGGATACATATTTTATTTATGTATGCCTTTATTCTACACATTCTCTTATATACATATATAACAGAATGTGTGCAATATATATAATCACATATATACTCTGCACTTTATCTGCTTTCTTGCACTTTCTGGTTAGAAGCTTAACTGTATTTTGTTGTCTCAGTACCTGTACTCTGTGTGGAGAAAGGCACTGATTACCTGATGAGCTGCAAGTTTTGTAAATGCGATGTAAAAAAGTATCACACACTGTTGTGGGTTTTCCGTGGCGCTGATAACGCTACGTTTGCAAATGTACATACATGAGGTCCTCTGTGTCACTTAGTTAAGATGAGGCTTTGAGTATGTGGCTTTGAGTATGTGCATAGCCCACACTATTTCACACCCCTTTAACAAAAACAATAATGACCAAGATATGGAAATATTATTACATTACATGCCATTTAGCTGACGCTTTTATTCAAAACGTACTTTAAAAGATTCATCTCAGTGCCCAGTTTTTGAACAGGACAATTACATGTCATTTCGTTGACACTTTTATCCAGAGCGACTTACAATAAGTGCCTTACAACCATAAGGATACAAAATCAAAAGTACAAGAAACAAGAAAGTGCAACTTCATTAAATAAGCCGATTTATAACTAGAGCCGTTACATGTACAATTTAAGTGCTACAATTTTAGTGTTTTTGGTCAAGGTAGAGTCTGAAGAGATGTTTCTTTAGTTTGCGGTGGAAGATGAGGCTCTCTGGGGTCCTGAGCTCAATCCACCATTTCGGAGCGAGGACAGCAAAGAATCGTGATCTTGTTCAGTGTTTTGTGTGGGAGTGAGGGAGGAACAAGCAGTTTGGCCGATGCAGAGCGGAGTGTGCATATATACTTTTATACTGAAATGCAGCTTTGTCTGAACGTAGGGTTCAGATTAATGAAATGTGAAGGCTACAGTGAAGCAGTAGTGTGTGGAGTGTGCAATCCTGAGAGAGTGGGGGCCTACATTACTGTAGACTGTCTGACACCACAGGCAGGGAACATTTTCTGACCCCAGTCTTTCTCACCAATGCCGGGTCTGGATTATTACATTCATAATTGGAAGTTTGGCCTTTTAATTTATAAAAACCTTTCGTCTCTCTGTGTTCTGCTCCAGTGAGCAAGGTGAAAACATATCAATATTCCATTGGAGGAATTATTAATCATTGCTCATACTCCTATCGACAGTATGGCACCACATTTAGCCTTCATGGACTGCAGCTCCAACGTGTGTAATTTTGATACATGAAAAAGAGAGTGCTTATGGCAGCTGTTTTAATTCCCAAGTATTCGCAATAGCGCTCTCAGTGAAAGGAGCCAGATCGATCAGCTCTCCTCAGTGCCTCTGTATCAACAAATTGGCGTGACCTATATGGCTGCTGGCATCTTGAAGGAGCTCAGCCGGTTCCCCCGCCCAGGGCAAGAGGATATAAATACAGGGAGACGATGCACGGCCAGCAAGTAGCCTAAACATATGCCTCTGCCTCTGCTGGACACCAGGCTTACAGGATCCACCACACCATGAAAGTGAGTACATTGTAGGAAGAGTTTTGCCTTTTGAACCAAAAATACTGAATCATGTTTATCCCAACTGCTGCTAATTATTATAAAACACAAGAGCTCTGTGAATATGACATTTTATTTCATTAGAATTTTTCAGATCATAAAATACACTTAAGATTAAAGTTATTCTGTGAATGCGGAATTTGGTCTGCTTTGGAGAAGGATGCTGGCACTAATCCTCAATGAACAAATTTGTCCCCACGTGTCTCTCTCTTCCACAGGGTCTAAGGACCATCACAATAACTTATTTCCTCACGCTTTTACTGCTGGGGACGTTTATCTCACAGTCATGGAGTGCCCCAAAGGTAAAGCAGATCCACTATAAAGGAAGAGAACCCAACATGTGATTACAGATTGTTAGCCAGGGTTTCAAAGCTGAAGAGTACAGTGGTCTTTCTTAATTAAAGGGCTCTTTCCAGCGGAGGAACTGGAGCCCGCAGGCAATGCTGTACCTCAAGGGCACTCGTATGTATTTACGTAATGAAATGTCTGTGTATAGGGACAATATTAGATACATCAATACCACAAGCGCCATAAACACTACTGCGATAGGCTGAATGCGCTGGGTTCTTTCACAGTGACATAGATATATTGCATAATGTTTATTTTTATTATTATTATTATTTACGTCACATATTTATTCAAAAACAGTTTCTTTGTATTTATTTCTACATCACATTCCAAAACTGATGGACGCATCTTTTTATTTCCCAGAGGGCCGAAGGTTCATCTCAGAAAACCGAAAAGAAGGAGACGTTTATGACACATTACACTTAGGTACAACCAAGATTCTAGTTCAAGTAGAGTAGACATTATGTCATGTATAATAAGACGGTTTCATTGAGCTAAGATCACATTTGCCTCAAGACAATTACTGGTTGTGTGTTTGCTTTCAGAGACCCGCAGTCAGAACACAGAGAAGCTAAGTATGGACCAGGCTGCCGCCGTCCTGCTCCACTTCCTGCAGCAAGCTAGAGAGGGAGGTGAGAGCAGCATGTATACAGGTCTATAAAAACCAGCCCGGAGCTAAGGAATGCTATACATCAATTTTGATGTTGTCCTTTTTTGGGGAAAAAATGTTTACATTAGATTTGAATTACTCAGAAATTATATGTATAGACCCAGCTATATACGGGCAATTCGGTACAGTATTTGTATCTTAATGGAAAAAGAAAACGTTTTCATTCAAACAGGTTTTATATTGAAAATACAAAATGTTGTCCTCATTTTGAGACTCATACTTGTATTTAGGGATTCAACCTTAACACAGAGGGTGCGCTGTGAACCACAAGGTTGGTGGTTCGAGTCCCGGCTGCCCCATGTCCCAAGTCAAAGTGTCCCTGAGCAAGTCACCTAACCCCTAATTGCTCCCTGGGCAAAATGTAAAAAGCCATACAAATGTTACAAATGTAATGAAGTCGCTTTGGATGAAAGCGTCAGCTAAATGACCTGTAATGTAATGTAGACGCACATCAGTGGATGTTTCATGATGTCCCTTTGAAAGGACTTTCAGTATTTTATATATGTAATATATTTGAATTGCATAATTGAATGCTCATGCTTTCTTTCTCTCAACTACCTGATGAAAACCCAGGTGAGGTGTATTTCCAGGAGGTGCCGGTGTGGAAGAGAGAATACTTCTGATATGCCTTACATACATTTCTAGAGCTCTTCTCGTTCTCATTGTTTGCTGTTGGGTTCGGTGTAAGAGAGAGGAACAACTGTTCTGTAAACATTATTAAATATGAAATGTGGCGGTTTAATAAAAGAGTTCTCAGCACTATTTGTCTGAAATGTCTGAATTTATTAATTATTAATAATTAAATTTCAAGTATACAAATTAATCTATTATATATATATGTAAATGAAGCACGTAACCAAATAGTGTTGCTGTTTTACCGTCTTCATTTGTAATTAGCCTCCTCGCTATGACTAGTCGTAGAGGAACCTATTGTATTTCAAGGAATTATTATTATTAGGATCCTCACTACAACTAGTCATAGAGGAACCTATTGTATTTCAAGGAATTATTATTAGGGCCTGAGCCGACTGAAAGTCGGCGAAAGCCCTATTGTGTTTCGAAGAATTCTGCTTCTTATTATTTCTCCACTTTAGTCGCACTTTTGAGGCCTTTATCATATTCATATCATCATATTCACTCTTGAATTTTGGCGTGCGAAACGGAAGTGCGAAAAATTTAGATATTCTTGGGTTGCGCATTTGGGGATAAAAAAATGGCTCTCTAGCGTAAGGTAAGGTGTTATAACTGTAAACAAGGAACATTTTAATTTCTGGCTGAAATTTTTAATTCATGATGCTATTTTACGCCTTAAAGTATTCCAATGCAGAGATTTTCAAAAAATTAATCTAAATGCAAAAGTTTTACACTTTAATGTGTATCTCCTTGTCACGGTTTGGGTTCACGTATTGTTTTATTTTGTAGTTTCGTGCCTCTGGTGCTCCTGGGTTAACTTCACTTCCTGCCTTGTCCTGTCATCCCCTGTGACTGTCTGCCGCGTCATGATTGTTTCCACCTGTGTCCAATCACCTGCACCTTCCCAGTGTATTTAAGCCATGTGTGTCACTTGTCGCGTCATTGTTAAATGTTGCATGTAGTGTTGCTTGTGGTTCCCTTGGTATCTTGTCCCTGCGTTTTTTGATTTTGTTTATAAGTCTTTTTGTTTTTCCCCCAAAAACCCATCTGGCTCTGTTCGGGCTACGCAGCGTTCAGCTGGGATCCGTCCCTTGATGGGGGGGTACGATCACGGTTTGGGTTTGTTTCCTGTTTTATTTTGTAGTTTTCTGCCTCTTGTGTCCCTGGGTAACTTCACTTCCTACCTTGTCCTGTGATTGTCTGCCGTGTCTGATCGTTTCAACCTGTGTCCAATCACCTGCACCTTCCCAGTGTATTTAAGCCCTGTGTGTCTTCTGTTCTTGTTCTCACCCGGGACCTACGTATATGTTTGACCTGTAACCCCTCCGTCGTGTGAGCTCGTCCTTACATACCAATTAGGTCCCTAATGCCCTTGGGGGATGACTGGTAGTGATGGCAAAGTGAAGCTTTCTGAACCAGTGACGCTTTCCAGTCAATTGTATCGGAAAAAGGTTCATTCATTCAATGCATCGCAAACTCTATGATGACCTCTGCTGTTAAACTTGTAGTGCAAATGTATCGAATAGCCCACCAGTATATTTTGGCCCAGTCTCTGTGGGTTGAACATGATTATGAAAAGTTGAACCAATAAATCATCTAATAAATACATGGATTCCTATATGAATAAAACTATTGTTTTTCAGGTTTGAATTGTGTCCTTGTTTGTGTTCTCTGTACATTGGAAAGAAGTTTAACACTTATCTATATCTTTCTGCACCTTTGCATGTATGTTTGTGATCATACTAGCAGAAGAATTAATAGAAGATTGTATATTATATTTATATTCTAATTATATATATATATATATATATATATAGAATATAAAGGACTATATAAGAAAATATATATATTATTTATATAATATATATATATGACATATGTAAGCAATATAATTTAAAATACCAGCAAGTGCTTCCTACTGCATGTGCAGTTCATGGCAGTCATAGGGACTTATGTGAATTGTTTGAATGTGGGAAGTGATTTGCAGAGGAAAGGTCAGTGGGGCAGTGATTGTGCTTTTGGACAGGTTTCTTATGACAGGATATTGAAGTGCTTGTGGACACATGGGATGGGGCATGAAATTATTGATTTTTATTGAGAAACACAATTTTCTCCACAGAATTGGGGTTTAGTCGGTTTCTTAGATACTATTTCCCCCGCCTTACAAAAAAGGTGCTTACACGACACGATGAGGCAGGAATGCTCAAAAGATTACGTGCTAATACAAATAGATGTGGGTACACATGTTTGTGTTTGATCCAATATTTTAGCGGGTCTTCACTCCGTGGAATGTTTGATTCAGCCAAATATTGGGTGGTCTCCACAATAAAAATAAACATCCATAATTACACAATACAAATGACAGACTTTGCCTGCCTATTGCCAACCTTGTTAGAGGAAATCAAATTGAAGTGCTCCCACATCAGTAATCAGGAATCAGGAAACATTTATTACCAAAATATGCCAAACATACAAGGAATTTGTCTTGGTGGTTGGTGCGCGACAGTAGACAGACAAGACAGCAGTGCACAAGTAATAAAATAAAGTAGAATGAAATGCTAATGCAATGGGTTAGTAGAATAAGGCTATGGGTTAGAATAAAACAAGGGAATAAAGTTAAAAATTTTAAATATTAAAAAAGTTAAAAAAAAAAAAAAATTAAGCATATAGTGCACTAACGAACAAGTAACAAAGTGACGAGTGACGACAAAGTGATGAATTACAGTTAAAGTGACATGTGCAGTGTGAGGGGGAGTGACCGGTGGAATGTCAGAGTCAGTCAGTGGGGGACCGGGCTCTGTTGATGAGCCCGACTGCCGACGGGAAGAAACATCTCGGAGCGACCTCTCTTTGCCACAGGTTCCATTGTAAATTTGCTACTACTACTACAACAACACTGACTTTGACTGTATCAAACCAACAAGCCCAAACCCTGTTTCGAGCCCATCTGAATCAAATCGAAGCGGTCACGTGACTGTGCGCAGGAACGAAGCTTCGGACGTCACTGATGATGTCACTGAGCCGGACAGAAGCTTCGGACGTCACTGATCACATGATCAGCAGCGAACGAACCGAGCACCGAGTGTGAGCAAGAAACAAGAAGTAAGCGCGTTTCGTGTGTTAAAACATGTTGGCTTATATACTTTTTGAGCAGAAGCAATGTGCGTCACCGGGGTTTCGTTTGCGTTGATCGCAGTTTCGGTTCGGAAACACGATCAAAGCAGGTTTGTGCGTTATTTGCGCTACTAAGCGCTTTTCAAGAAGACATTTTCACACCTTAAAGAAGGTTCGTGCGTTATTTGCGCTACTAAGCGCTTTATACAGGAAAACATTTTCACACCTTAAAGCAGGTTTGTGCGTTATTTACGCTACTAAGCGCTTTATACAGGAACATTTCCACACCTTAAAGCAGGTTCATGAAACCGCTTCACACCGCAAGGCAGGTTCATTAAACGGCTTCACACCTCAATGCGCTATTTGCGCTACTAAGTGTCTTTACAGGAAAACAGCTTTGCATATCAAACGGACCCATTCCTTTTATCCTTTTGGTGCAGGATTCTTGGTGCACAAAGCAAAGCATTATGTTTTTGTAAGCATTTTTGTTTTACACAGTATCCGTCTATACAACACCGGTTGGAGACATCTGGAAGGATTCAGCCAAACAACTTCTCTTGTTCTGGTAGATTTATTTGTCAGATCACAGGTCAAGTATAAGCGTTGCGTTGGCAAAGGCAAGAGCAGTTCTGTCCGCCCGCAGGCCGGAAGAACAACTGACTAACATAGGGAAAAACATTATATTTTTGTTTCTTGTTAGATATAAAAGAAAAGATTTCTATTGGCCCTAAACTGGCGTCGAGGAGGAGAAGGTCCTCTTGCCACAACACAAGATCCAATTACATGCAATGTGTGGTCTTCTAACATAATGAACAAAGCATGAGTGTTGTATGGTGCTTGGCGTGTCTCTAAATCTCATCCTTATCAGCCCTGGGTCTGCCTGGTCGACACTTTCTGCTTTTCCTCTGGCCTTGGACTCCTCAAGACAGTGACTCCCTAAATGAGCACTGGGAAAACGTTTTTGATTATCAATTTGATGATTAAAGTCTTTTGGTTTGAACTCTGCGTTTGGGTCCTGCCTTCCCCGCTTCCTGACAGACATAGTCTGAGCGTTCTTATCTTCTTATCTTTTTATTATTAGGGCGTTTGCCATCGTAGAGGGACATATTATATTTTCAGGAATTAATATTATTGATTTTATTTGCAAAGATTTTTGCCTTTTTTGGGGGCTTCATCATATCCCAAAAGTTGCTAAATTTGACATTGATATCAAGACTGCTGAAAAATGTGTTTTGGGGGTCTCTCATTTGGGCAAAAAGAAATAACTCTATAGCTTCCCCTAGTAATGTTCTTGCGATTTTTTGCCCCTATAACCAATTGACTTTTTGGCACTTTGTCCACTTGGGTATGCTCCACAAGAAAGTCAATCATGGCATTAAAATATGCCTGATTAGATTTCCGCCACTTTCAATTTCAAACACATTTTTGCTCTACTGTTTTCAGACAGATTCTCACAACATGTGGGTCATTATTGGTTCAATATCATGAGTTATCAAAACAGTTTATCTATTGTGTTTATATTATATAGACCAATAAACTTTATCGGTTGTGGCTTAATATGTCAAGACACATAACTTCCAAATTGCTTGGTCCGTCTTCACTAAAATTGTAGCAGCTGTCCACATTGTATCCCCAAAAATACCCCTAACAGGGGGCGCTGCAGTTAGCCTTATTTCATTGTTTCATTGAACAAACTCCTCCTAGAGATTAAACCAGATTCATTTCGAATTGATGTTGTAAATCATGTTGTGGTGGCGGGCATGGTTTGGCTCAGCTGCGGAGGGGACGGAGAAGGGAGTGGCTCGAGGAACGGTGCCAGGAGGAGGCATAATTGGCCTCAGGTGGAGCTAATCATGTGGTGTGTGTTCTGCCTCTAGTAGGGGAGATCCGGGACAGCGGAGGACAGAGAGAGTCTGGCGGAGAAGCTGGAGCCGGACGCGTGTTGGATAAGACTGCAATAAAGACTGTTGCTTGAACGTTACGCTGTATCCTCGTCATTCCACGTTCCCCCAAAGGACTGCACGTTACACATATATAAAATATATTTATGTGAGCGTGGAGCAGCGACAAAAAACACAATTTGCCATGAAAATTTTAGTTGTTTCAACTTGCCCGTACATTATGTAATCTGCTCCATATTGCTCATATGTCGGCTATTTCTCCTTATCCTGTAGACTTCCATCATTTTTAATCCTAGTCATAAAACTAAGAAGTTACATGTTTTTTATACACTGCTCCTCGCAGATTAATCAGATCACTGTCAAAAGACCATGATAGTGTTTCACTGTGAAGATTGTAAGAATTCATTGAAGGGCAGCAGGTCAGAGTATCGGTGAAGTTGATCCATCAAGAACAAACTAACACACAGTTGGTTTAGAACCCTGCATTTACTTTGACAGTCTGTTATGTTATGTCACAAACAATAGCATGTTGTGTTCTTGTCCACACAGTGGATACAGGAAGTGGGGAGGCCAACACCATCTGTCCAAAGGCAATGTCAGTCCCCTTGAAGTGAATGAACTCAGAGGTTCTACGTGTCCAATGTTCTGCGTTGTTTCTTCTATCATGGCTACACAACATAACTAAAAATAAATTGTGATTCCTCTGGAGTTCCTGTTATATACCCCTTGTGTTTGTCAATTATCCGTTCACTCAATGGGTGGCCTTAACTTTCATGCTGACCTTTAGGATGCCAATTACAGACAGAACCATAAGCCTTCGTTGCACAACTCAATATCACTAATGATGCTTTAAGGGGTGTAAAAGGCTAGGATTTTTTTTATTTGACCGTCAATTTGAATCTGAACATTTGTGGGTAACAAAAATGCATGTTCACCAGATTAAGTAAATTTATTGATAGTGTCATATTTTCTATGTTGAGTTTCATCTGAACGTATTTTCTTACCTCCTGGAACTTTGTAAAACGTTTTGATTACTGTGGCTCTAAATGTTTACATTGATGCCAAACAACTGTCAAATGTAGGGGACTTACTGGACCAAATTTACAGGGCCCCTTTAGGAGAAAGGGGCATAACTCGCAACTAATGAGGGAGAGATGTTGTTGGATGGAAATCCAAACTGTATTTAGCCCCCCTCACTTTACTATGCGTGTTTTCAATATAAATTGGCAAGATAAAAATATTGTAAGGGTACAGCAAAACTCCACGACACCAAACAGATTAGCAACACTAATCACACAAAAAAATATTCTGGGACGTTTACTTTTTGTCAAGGTCATCATGCTGAACACTAGCATGCTCCAAGCTATGCTAACTAGCAAAGTACCTGCGTTAACTCTAACCAGCTTACTAGAAACAGCAGTCTAGCCTGTATCGAGTGGACAGCATCACTAAAACAACAGGGTATAGTTCCAGGTGTGCTTTGTTGAGAGGACGGCAAAATATGCATAATTGTTAATTTTATGTGTCTTGGTTCTTCATCCTTAAAAAGTCAGAAGTCAGAAGTGCTAGGACCAAAGACTTTTTGATAATATAATCAGTCATATTATGGAGTACATATACAGTGGGGAGAACAAGTACGTGAGCAGTCGCTGAACCTTACAGCGTTCACACACCTGGCAGGCTGACACATACTCATGACATATGAGAAATAAAGAGTGGGATTAGATATAGTTGAGTTAAAACAACTTAATTTTCATGGCAAATGGCAAAGTGTTTTTTTGCCAATGCTGTGCGGTCACAATTTTTTCAAGCGTTGTAATTTTTAAAGGAAAAGGTCTCAAGATCACACTGCCCAAATTTGAATAGAATCAGAAACTAGAAAATGCATTTCCTGCTGAAAATGCGTTGGAATGCAAAAAGCTGAAAGCTGAACAGAATTTTTTTAAATAACTGAAAATACAGAAAGTTTAAGGGAATTTGAATACATTTGTTAAAAAGCTGAAATTAATTTGAAATTGCTGAAAATACAGATATGGGAGAGGCTGCATGGAATTTCAATAGATTTGCTGAAAAAGCAGAAATGAAAACAGCTGAAAAAAATGTGAAATCTTGCAAAAAAATACTGAAATGAATATTAAAACATTGCTGTTAAGAGGCATAAGAAAAACTGAAATTTTTTTAAAGAATTGCTGAAAATACAGGAAGTGGGGAAGCTGAATTTCAATAGATTTTATAAAAAATACAGAAGTTGCAGGAGCTTAAATGAATTAAAAAAAAATACAAAAATAAAAGCTGAGATGACTAAAAATAGGTTTAAAATAGTTTGTAGTAATATTAGTAGTAGTATTAGTTATTGTAATTGTGGTATTAGTAGTACTAGCTGTAGAAGTAGGTTTAGTATCAATAGCAGTAGAAACAGCTGTAATACTAATAGCCATAGTAGTATTTGTAATAACATTAGTAGTAGTTGTAGTATTAATAGCAGTAGAAGTACTAGTAGTATGGTAGTAGAAGTATCAGTTGTAGTACTACTAGAAGTACTAGTAACATGCTTAGTGGTTGTAGTAGTATTTGAAAGAGCAATACGTATTTCAACGAAACCGCTTCATTCTGAGCTTCATGGTTAAGGCACAGATAGTCGTTGAGGCTTTTATTTTGTAATGATGGAATTGGGTGAGGGGGAGTTTGGAGACAGAATGTTTGTTATTCAAACTAATGGGGCCTATGGGGCTTTTGGCAGAGGTTGACTCTAACACTCCTTAAGCCAAAACTAAAGAACTCTGGGATTCTATGAACACATTAATCCAATCAGCACAACCATGCCCTCATTAATCTGAAGAAATGAAGCCTCAAGAGTGTATACTTTGGCTGCAAGGACAGAAGTTCCATATTTTTTTAACCAGATTCTGGCGCTGCCCCACACTCTAGCCCTCGAGGTCCCCCTCTAGCAGACGCAATACACACTCATGTAAAAGTCAGAAACGGAGCGAAGAACTAGTGAAACATAATCAGTGATTATGAAAAAAGTACAATAGATATCAACAAGCATTTTTTTTCATAAAATAGTTGAGACTTGTGTCAACATTTGAAAGTTTAAATGGTGTCTGTGGCTGAAAGATTTGCGAAGCTGAAAAATCTGAAAGTTGAAGAAGTTTAAGAGGATTTGAAAACAAACTCCTTGTGAAAACCATGTTAAAATGTTAATGATTATTGATTTATATAAATTCAAGCTTAAGAGGTAGAAAGCTGAAACGCTATAGCCCGGAAGCCGGAAAGAAGCTGAACATTTTAATATTTGAAGGATTTATTAGCTGAATGTGTGAAGGAGTTGAAAGGTGGCACGGAAGAAATAGAATAATAATATGAATAATAATAAGTTGAATAAAGATTCGAAGAACAATACTTGGAATGCTTAATGCATTCCAAAAATAAGTTGAAATAAAGAATAGAAGAACAATACTTGGAATGCTTAATGCATTCCAACAATAATTTCTGGGAGGAGGAGTTCGGTCCTTTACTACTCCAAAAAACATGATAAAATAATTATGGTGTGTTCAGGTGTTCAATGTTTACAAATGTTACAAATTTGACCAGATTTGACCGGGGGGAGGGATGTTGATTCGGGGGGGACATTGAACCAACAATGATCCACAGAAAATTTTGTGACAATCTAACACTGCGTTTAGAAGAGCAAGATTTGGATTTTTCAACTTAATTCAAAGTGGCGGAAAATCTAAATACGCACATGTAACCGTATTCCAAAACAAAACACCTCTCGTCTCTGGTGTTCATGTCACCAGGAGGGCATTGGGTTGTTGCGGCTGATTTTAGCATGGTTTGTTTTATTACATTTTAGCATGTTTTTATGGTCCGTCCATACCAGGAATGGGTTTTCCGCATCCTCCAGCTAGTGAAGCCATTCCTCCAGGGCTACTTTGACGGCAAGCAATTCTCGGTCTCCAATATACAGCGGGTGAAATAAGTATTGAACACATCACCATTTTTCTCAGTAAAGGCTGGGGCATGCTTCTGCGTCTGCGTCGTTGCGTCGACGCACTCGTTTCAATTCACGGTTCTAAAAGTCTTGCGTGTGTTGCAGAGCAATTCACCTCCAGAACAACAGGTGGAGTAATGTGTTTTTGTTGAAGACGACCTAGAGAGTCACGTCTTTGTGTGTGTAAGTCGTTGGTTTGTTTACTCATTTATCATAGACTTTATTGCCCCGTGCATCGACACTGCTGTTTTTCATCGCGGACACATTTGTCCCGTATTTTCCTCCACAACTTTGTGCACCTCTCGACCGGCAAACCGACGTTTGCGGAGTTTGACCCCTTTTTAAAGGAGCACCTTGAGAAGCATGGCAACAAGGGAAGAGGTAAGCCATCTTCCATGTCCTCAACTGTGTGTAAGGGATTTATTTTATTAATGAGTTACAAAACTAAGCAAGTGATAGCAGAGGAAAGAGTAGTGGAAAGATTCAATGGGTTTGAGCCCATCCACAGCCATAAAGGTGCAAGCCTAGCTGAATCTGTGATTGAAATGGTGCGAGGCTTGGGGTTAGACTTGTCAAACTGTCGTGGTCAAAGTTTTGGGAATGCTAGCATTATGTCTGGCAAATACAGCAGGCTCCAGGCGGACTTGAAAAAACAAAACCCACTAATTCATTATACACCGTATGCTGCCCATTCGCTGAACCTCGTGGGTGTTAACTGCGTTGATAATTGCTGTGAGGAGGTTAACTCCTTTTTTGAACTGTTGCAGTCCCTGTGTACATTTTGCAGCGCATCAACATGTGGCGAAATGGTTCCCTATTCTACCGGCAACGCCACTTGGGATAGGCCCAAGACCCTTTAAAGCACGCGGGTTCGTTTCACTCAACAGGCAAGGGCTCGTGGTTCCCAGGTTAAAAAAACATTTTTATTCAATAAATATATGTTCCCGTAAAATCTAACATTCCTCACAAAATAAGAAAAGAAAACTAATCGCTAAGGCCTAATGTGAGAAGCGCCGGTGAAGGGGAAGGAAAATTAATAGAACAAACTTAGAGAAAACCAAACCAGAGTTCACCCAGTGATAGCAC